GTGGCAGGGAGCAGCAGCTGTCCCTGGGAGCACATCTGGGCTGGTGACAGGGACAAGGGGGTGCTGCCAGCCCCTCTGGGGCACTGCCACAGCCTCAGCCCTGCTCTGCCCCCAGGTGCGCTGCTGGCGGCACGACGAGAAGGAGGAAAACGCCAAAAGGATCCGCACGGTGGGGAACCAAACATCCACCAAAGTCAGCAACCTGAGGGGCAATGCCCTCTACCACCTGGCAGTCAGGGCCTACAACACGGCTGGCACCGGCCCCTCCAGCGCCGCTGTCAACGTCACCACCAAAAAGCCGCGTGAGTGCTGGCAGGGATGGATGCCCTGGCGGGGTCCAGCCGCTGCTCCCCTCTCTCATTTCCCAGCTCTCTTGAGCCTCGAGGAGCCGTCAGACTTCTCCTTGCCAGGCTTTTGTGCAGATTTACCAGGCTCAGCCTTTTTATTTCGTTTTTTTCGTGAGGTTCTTCCCAGTGTTAAGTAAGCAGAGCATGCAAAACCGAAATCACAGCAGTGCAGGCAAATTAAATATTTATCTCAGTGTTCAAGAGGGCTTTTTTCCTCTGGTCTCAGGCATGTTGAGCGACTGACTGAATCCCTTTCTCATGTAAAGCCCCGTGTCGTGTCACACCTCGTGTGACCTTGAGGACACAGATCAGTGGAGCAGCTCAGCTCTCCACAGGGACGGGCTCTGGCAGGCTCAGCTGTGCTGCTGAAGCCCCCCTGGCACTGGAGGGGACCCAGCTGGGAATGGATTCTCCTCAGTAACGTGGAGCTGTCTGGTTTTTGGTGCAGCACCCAGTCAGCCCCCCGGGAACATCGTGTGGAATTCATCCGACTCCAAGATCATCCTGAACTGGGACCAGGTGAAAGCCTTGGACAACGAGTCAGAAGTGAGAGGCTACAAAGTGAGTATTCCCATGGTGCATTCATGATTTCCCAAGTCAGATCTGGGGCATTCCTCTATAGTCAGAGCCATGCCAGTCTGTGTGAGCACGTTTTTCCTGCAGCTCCCACCTGCAGAACTTCTCTCCTGCCTTCTATGGAAGCTTCCCCACAGCTGTAGTTGGCTCCTTAATTGCAGATAAATAAAATGCTTTTTTAATAGCTCCCATTTCCTTCAGAAAGCCGAGCCAAGAGGAAAAGAAAGAGAATCCTCATTAGAAGCAGTTTTAATAGGACATAATTTAACTAGGGAGAAACCTTGGGAAGAATTCAGCTCCACCACCTTCCACAAGGGTTTCATTTAGCCCAAAACGACGTTGCCCTGGGGTTGGAGTTGTGCAAACATTTCCCACCAGAGCCTGAGCCAGTGAAGGACCTGGCCATGCTCCATGTTTTATTCCCAGCCTGGAATGCCAGCAGCTTGGTGAGCCTGTGCCAGCTCCCTCAATCCCTGCACCAACTTTTAAATGTCTTTGGTGCTTTGTATGGGCTCATCAAAAATAAGTAATTCCTCAGAGTTTTTAGTCCAAACCTCAGATGAACCTCAGCAATCTGGACCAGCTTTTCACTACATATTTTAAGGTTTGAAATGCAAATTAAGGAGTTGGTTGAAAGAGGGAGAGAGAGACTCATCACCCTGGAAAAGCATCTAGAGAGTTTCTAAAACATTCTCCTTTAACTTACTGTAAGGGTAGCCCAACCACATGGATTTATTTCCTGAATCATAGCAAAACATCGCCTATTTTTCTTCTTTTTGCTTAGAAATCTTGTATTTTACGACACAATTTATGATATAAATTAGTACAACTCCCACAGCTCAGAAGGTCGTTCACAAAAGTCATTTATTCTGGGAAACCATTGGTGGCACTGTATCAAATATCCCAACTCAGTTTCCAGAAGCAGCAGAATAAGGAGTTTCTGACCTCTGTAAAGAAGTTTTTGCTTCTATAAGAGTTTATTTTAGCATGACCAAGGCAAGGGTTTGCTGTGTTTGCTGTGTTGAGTGCTGCTGATCAGCATCATCCTCCTGCCAGTGTCACCCCCTGCCACCTCTGTGCTGGTGTCCCCAGCAAATCCCACGTGTCCCCTGTGTCACCAGATCCCTTCTGAGCATGAGGAGCAGGAAAAGGGCAGCAGCACCTCTGGACACCCCGAGGTGGGCAGCTCTGAGCACAGCGGGCAGCTCTGCCCTTTCTGCCTCCTGTTGTCTCTCCCTCGGCCGCAGGTTCTGTACAGGTGGAACAGGGAGAGCAGCACGTCTGTCATAGAAACAAATAAAACCTCAGTGGAGCTGTCCCTGCCCTTTGATGAGGATTACATCATCGAGATCAAGCCCTTCAGCGACGGCGGCGACGGCAGCAGCAGCGAGCAGATCCGAATCCCAAAGATATCCAGTAAGGATGGGGGAATGGGCTCTGGGCCACAGGGCCCCACCAGCAGATAGTGCACTCCCTCATTCTGATTGTATCCCAAATATAAGATTCAGCCACAAGAAACACCATCCTAAGTAGTTCTGTTTGCATTTAAGGTTTCCAGATGCTTTCCCCTCTCAGTTCCGTGTGTTAAATGTTTTGTTTCACTGCAATTCACTCATAACCAAATACAGCATGCAAAGGCTTCTAAATCTATAAGGCTTCTGTACAGCCATATCCCATTGTGTGCTGGATGCATAAATATTTATTTAGGGAAATGAGGTGGTGTAGAAGAACAAACACAAGGAGTATTTTATTACACAACATGGCTTTTGCAAAATCTCTGTGTCCCATCTTCCATTAATAATGTCCCACTTTATAAGCTGCATTAAATCAGGAGCCTCTGCAATGCAGGAATATGGCATTAAAATCACAGCAATGTAAAAAAGACCTGGGTGAGAGCAGAGTTCTCCCCAGCATGGCTGTGTAAACCATGCAGAGGAATTTAATCAGCAGCACAGGAGAGGGAAGGGGAGCTGGAACACACCAGCTCCCATTTGGCTCCTGATCAGGGGTCACAGAGCGGGTACATGGCTCCTGCAGGATGGGAGGCACAAGGAACAGCTGGAATATGGTGCAATTGTGAAAAAATACCAAATAATGGTAGGCAGGCAGCGTGTGAAATAACAGAACTGTGAGAGCAGCCTCAACACAACAGGGGCAGGAATTGAAAAGAAACCAAAAATTCAGTTGGGGAGGTGACCACAAAGCAGAGGAGGGGGCTGTGCTTTATCCCAGGAAAGGGAATTCAAACCTTGGGTGAAGGAAGAGCTCGGGGATTGTTCTGTGCTCACCTCTGGCTCCTTTTCCCCTCTCCCCTCTCAGATGCCTACGCCAGAGGCTCGGGCTCGTCGACCTCCAGCGCCTGCACCCTGTCAGCCCTCAGCACAATCATGATCTCCCTCACAGCCCGCTCCAGTTTATGACAACAATGACATCGAGGACTTCTTCTTTATAATATAAGCAACATTTAGCTAGTTGTTTTGGAGACACCCAGTACTAAGTAATATTGTGGTTTGAGTACATCTTACTACTGGAAAAAAAAATGTTTTTGCTTCTTTAGGAATGGCATTATACAGTACTTCCTCAAAGCAAATATAGCTTTGTCTGAAGTTTCCTTGGAAACTCTGCAATGCACTGAAAACATCTGTAATACGATGTTACCAAAGCAGTTTACATATGTCCTTATATGCATATTTTTTATTATATATTTAGTGTTTTATAGAATTTTTTAAAGTTAACATATGATGTAGATATTAATTTTTTTCCTCTGCTATAAAATGCTATGGACGACATTATCACGAAAATATTGTTTGGGATTTTTTCCTTTTACGACGGAGAGTTCCAAGTTGTTCCTGGCAAATTGGCTGGAGTTGACTGTACAGTTTTACAGGGCACAACTGCTCCAGACCCGGATTGTAACAGGCTGAGCTTCACTGGCAGATCCAGCGACTCCTGTGTTGAACCCAGGGCTTCTCTCACACGTTTCATCCAGAGCTCTGAGCAGGACAAACTCAAAACACTCAGAAGAGCAGAATTTGGGAAAACCACTTGGATTTTTGGTTGTGGACTACAGGACATGTAGCCAATATTCCAGCATTGTGCAGCGAGGAGGGGCTGTGAAATTGCTTTGTCTTGATCATAATTAGCATCAGATTGGGTGGGGAAATGAAGATCCTGCAGAGCTGTGACGTGTGTGGTGACACAACGGGATGGCCACTGGCCTCATGTGGGGTGCACGCCCAGCTCAACCCTTTGGAGATATCATTCCAAGGAAATTCCTCCTGTTTGGGGATTAATTCCAAGGAAATCAGAAAGCTGCTCTGGGCTCGTTCTTGGGGACACAACTGCTCATCCTTGGTAACTCCACTCTGCAGACAACGCTTGGGAACCTGGCCTGGAGCAGGAGCGGGGCTGCCCCAGCTCCAGGTTATCCATGTGGGAATCTCCCAGAGATCTCTGCTGGAATTTTGCCTTTCCTTAGAAACTCCTCCCAGACGCCTGGAGGCAGAACAGAGTCACACCAGAAAACGACAATATCCACACTGGAATAATTCTTCTCAAGAGAAGGACTGTTTGTTACTACGGGGAATTTTGTAAGTTCAGACGGGATAACGCTGGAAAAGGCAATGGAATTTTCTATACAATTTTCAACTTTCAATGCGCTGCAGTGGTATTTTTTTTTTCTCCTGATAGCTTGAATTTGCCTGTAACTTGTCTCTTTTGCTTACAAAATAATACAGTTAACTTTTAGACCTTCTAAATATATTTATTCAGTAACTCATAATCAGGATTCCACTTGTGTAAAAGTCAGGGTTGTTGACCAGAGAAATATTGTCAGTATTTCAAGCTGTGTTCCTTTCTTAGTTTGATATGGTTACTTCTATGTAAAAAAAAATAAAACAAGAAAAACCTTAAAAAAAATCCACAAAACCAAGAAAAATAAAATAACAAAAAAAATAAAGCTTCTGTAGTTTTATCCCCGGTGTAAATGATATTTATCAGTGATCTAGCAGATGTAATCTTTTTTTAAAGGTATTGGTAATAAATATTCTGTCATTTGTAAAGATACCTGTCTTCCAGGAGCATTTTTCCTCCACTTTTTCTTCAGTGAGAAATTTCCCTTTAGACCCTGCTGAGACTGTCACTGATGTGACAATACAAAAGTTGGTTTAAATTAAAACTTTGTGAAGGCAGAAAAAAAAAAAATTATACATCTCTGGTCTAATTCTTCTCCCAAAAACATGAGTAGGTGAATTTTGGGTTTGTTTTGTAGAGCTGTGAGCTGTCCAAGATCATGGGGATGGAGCATCTCCAACCCTGTGGCTGGAGCAAAGCCCTTCCAGGCCCTGCCTCTGCTCATCCTGGGGATTCCTGAGGATTTTGGGAGCACGGATTGAAACCACTCAATCCACCAAGGCACGTTTCCAGTCCTTTCCGGGCAGGAGCTGAACGGGGCTCTGCATCCCACAGGAGCAATGCTGCACTGAGGGCCTGCTCAGGGACCTCAACCTCTGCCATGGACCCTGGGATAGGCTGTCAATCAACCCCAAAGCCACGCCCCCTGCTGGCCCATTGGCTGTCCAACCCCCTTGACCATATATGGTCACAGTTCTAGCAGTTTCTTTGTTCTTTGAACCCTCATTGGTCCATTTACCCTTCTGTTTTCCTATTGGTCACTGTAATCCTTTTCCCGCCCACGTTCAGGTGATTGGCTGTTGTTCTTGGCTCCACCCCTTTGTAGCAGTATATAATCCTGGGCCCTCCACCTCTCCTTGACTTTGTCCCTGGGCCCTTTCAGTGTGTAGGTGATATAATCCTCCCCCCTGTAAATCCATACAAAGCTAGATTTAGCTAACCATCTGTCCTGGAGAGGAGCTGCTGCTGGCCGTGGTGTTTGCTGTGCCGATGGTGGGGCTCTCTCCTCGTGGGGATGTGTCAGGAGGGCTGCAGCTCGCTGCCACCTGCCCACGCTGCAGCACACCTCACAACAGAGCAGAAAAATAGACCAGCCCTGCAGCACAGCTCGGTTTGTAAAAAGAAAAGTGAAATTGTCCTTTCCAGAGGAAGGCAAAGAGCAGCTCCTGTGGGTGCTGTCCTGGAGGCAGCAGGGAAGAAGCAAAAGGGGGTTGGGAGCTGGGTTTGAAGGGAAAAAAATGAGAAATAATGATTCTGTGCTGTGGGAGTGTGGGGCTGGAGGTCTGATGTGGTGGTGCCAAAACTGACACAGCCCTGGCTGTGGCCTGGGATCCTGGGCAAATTCCTTTTCCCCTGTGCTGCCTGGAGTGAAGATTTTCCTCCAGGAATCACGACCATGAGGAGGAGCTTGGCCAGGAACTGTCCTCATCCTGCACCCTTGGTTCTCCAGCACTGAGATCACTAAAGGTGAGTGGGCTGGACCTGCAGCCTGGCTGGGGAAATGCTGCTGCTCCTGCTTTACACCACGTTGGATTTATTTACCAGGGTGAGTAGAAGTGTGGCTGCTGGCTCTCCAAGCCATCCAGCCCTCATGTCCCCATGAGGACTCATCCTGGAAGTACCAGGTGTCTGATATGTAAAATATATTTAAATATATTGCATTGACCTGTGCAATAGCTTGGCATTAATGGGAATGGAATTATGTGCAGAAACCTTATTTATTATTTATTAGGCCACTTGAAGGCATGACATAAAATACATTCCAATAAGTGAATTCTCTTTAGTCTCATTTTTAGGATTTTACTAATGAAATTCTGATTTTAGAGTGTTAAAGTTGGGGCCCTCGAATCTATTAAAAGCACATGTAAGAGAGACATTGGAAGCATCAATGTTATATTAATGAGTTACATTAACTTTGATGGAGCAATGCTACTTCACCCAGATGAGAAATGACTCGTTTATTATAATTATTTTTAGTCTATAGTACTTGGAAACTCCATTTCTTTAGGCACTTTCCACAGAACTTATTGGGTGGATCAAATCTTTATTTTTATTCTTCATTAACATGTTTGACCCAGCTCCATGGACAGGAGGTTTCTTGGAACTGGAAGGAATTCTGCAAGACCAGGAGAACTTCATGGGCCACAGCCAGGGAGGTCAGAGCCCAGGGTGGAAATTCAGGTGGAAATTCACAGTTTTGTTACAAAGCGTAGCAGCAAAGGCCTGGTGAGTGTCCCTGCTCTCAGGGTGGCCTTGCTGTGGCACTGGGGGTGACAGCACTGGGGTGACAGCACTGGGTGCTTCACACGTTTTTCTTTCTTTTCCCAGTGTTTGACCCCTCTTGGTCACTGCCAGCACCACCTTGCTGCATCCACAGGGTTGTGCCAAACCCAGTTTGCATTTCCAGTTGTCAGGGCAAGGTAAAACAAACCCCCAAAAAAGTAAGGTGCCAGCCAGAAAAAATGAATCCATTGGCTCTTTCCCAGGCTTTTTTTTCCCTACACAGCCCTTGTGCCATGAGCTTCCATCCTGCTTGAGCTGGAACTTTGTTTGGCAACAAGGCACCTGGTGCAGGCAAATCCTCGTCCCCACTGGGAGCAGGGACACAGAGAGGTGGCACAGAGCCCTCTCCAGCGTTGGTGGGTGACCTCGTGGAGCCTCTCAGAACACGGAGTCGTCGAGGACGCTGCAGGAGAAGCCTTCAGCCAGGCTGCCCACCTCGGTCTCCGTGGAGCTGGGGCAGGTCCGTGCTCTCTGCAAAGCAAACACCCTTGGAGCTGGGAGCTGGCGGGGTGGTGTGGGCTGGGGGAGAGCTCAGAGCTCAAATTGGTGCATTTAGAGAGGGATTTACCCAAAATGTTTCATGGTTGAGGAGCTCAGGAGCATTGGGCTCAACAGGAGGGTTTTCCCCCTCTGGCTGAAGCTCTCGCTGAGCTGCTCATCCTCTGTCCCTCCAGCCCTGCACCCCCAAACTCCCCACTTGCCAAATTCTCCCACAGTGGCCACCCCTCTGTAGCCAAGAGCAAGGAGCCCAGGAGGAGCTGGAGGGCACAGAATCATTAAATCATTATTGCTGTAAAAGATCTCCCAAGATCATCGAGTCCAGCCTTCCGTCAGATCCCACCAAACCCTATCCCAAAGGGCCACATCCAAAAACCAGGAGGTTTTTGTGCTCTTCCAGGGATGGAGAGCTCAAAAACTCTCCATCCCTGGAAAATGAGAGAGTGGCATCTCTCTCATCTGCCCTGGGGAGCCTTCTGCAGAGCTGGGCCACTCTGGCAGTGAGGGATCATGGTTGGAGGAACAGGAATTTTTCTAAATATATGGCAGCAGAGCCATTTATGGGATCTCATCCTGGCAGAGCTGCACAAACAGGGGTGTGGGGCTGCAGAAGGAGGCAGCAGCAGGGGCTGAGCTGCTGGGAAAGCCCTGCAGGGACCCACAGGTGACACTGCAGGGACCCACAGGTGACACTGCAGGGACAGCAGGTGACACTGCAGGGACCTGCAGGTGACACTGCAGGGACCCGCAGGTGACACTGCCAGGGACCAGCAGGTGACACTGCCAGGGACCAGCAGGTGACACTGCAGGGACAGCAGGTGACACTGCAGGGACCCGCAGGTGACACTGCAGGGATCAGCAGGTAACACTGTGACACTGCAGGGATCAGCAGGTGACACTGCAGGCACCAGCAGGTGACACTGCAGGGATCAGCAGGTGACACTGCAGTGTCACCCCACAGGTGACACTGCAGGGACAGCAGGTGACACTGCAGGGACCCACAGGTGACACTGCAGGCACCAGCAGTTCCCACGGCCACCACCTGCAGGGCTTTCGTCACCTCAGCCCTGTTTACACCGAATTTAGGAACTGAGTGTCCCCAACAAACAACTTCCCTGTCCCTGGTGGCCTCAGCAGGACCTGGGTCATGTCCCAGCCCTCCTGGCAGTGCCACCAGCCCTGTGGCCGTGGTGCCTCTGGCTGGTGTCACCCAGCAGGGCCAGCTCACCTGGAGTGAGGAGTGAAAACAAGGCAGAGCTGCTGTGAGAACCTGAGCCTGCCTTTGCCAGCTCACATTTCCAGCTGCAGCATTGATATTTGCTATTT